TGGTACCTCTTACAGGTAGGTAGCTTCATAATCTGCTACCTGTTAAAGGTAATGAGCTTCATAATATGGTACCTCTTACAGGTAGGTAGCTTCATAATCTGCTACCTGTTAAAAGTAATGAGCTTCATAATATGGTACCTTTTATAGGTAGGTAGCTTCATAATCTGCTACCTGTTAAAGAGCTTCATTATATGATACCTCTTACAAGTAGGTAGCTTCATAATCTAATATTAGAGGTAGATTCATTATCTGGTACATAATAGAGATTAGTGGCAGTAGTAATAAAAGATAGTTTTGCAATCTGGTACTTGTAAGAGATAGGTTGTCCTGTAATCTAGTACCTGTAAGAGGTAGGTTGTCCTGTAATCTGGTACCTGTTAGAGATAGGTTGTCCTGTAATCTGGTACCTGTTAGAGATAGGTTGTCCTGTAATCTGGTACCTGTTAGAGATAGGTTGTCCTGTAATCTGGTACCTGTTAGAGGTAGGTTGTCCTGTAATCTGGTACCTGTTAGAGATAGATTGTCCTGTAATCTGGTACCTGTTAGAGATAGGTTGTCCTGTAATCTGGTACCTGTTAGAGGTAGGTAGCTTTGTAATCTGGTACCTGTTACAGGGAGGTAGCTTTAAAATCTGGTACCTGTTAGAGGTAGGTATCTTTGAAATCTGGTTCCGGTTAGAGGTAGGTAGCTTGAAAATCTGGTACCTGTTAGAGGTAGGTAGCTTTGAAATCTGGTACCTGTTAGAGGTAGGTAGCTTTGAAATCTGGTACCTGTTAGAGGTAGGTAGCTTTTAAATCTGGTACCTGTTAGAGGTAGGTAGCTTTTAAATCTGGTACCTGTTAGAGGTCGGTAGCTTTGAAATCTGGTACATGTAAGGGGTAGGTAGCTTTAAAATCTTTGAAATCTGGTACCTGTTAGAGGTAGGTAGCTTTGAAATCTGGTACTTGTTCGAGGTAGGTAACTTTGAACACTGATACTGTTAGAGGTAGGAAGTATCATCACTTGATATCTGTACATGCTACAGGTACAAGCTACGTTATGTAGTACCTGTTAGAGGTGGCCAGTTTCATTTTCTGGGGGTCGTAACATAAAGGGTACTTAAGTCTAACACCATGCTTAATGTACAGTGTTTAACTTAATACCGTAATTAAAAGCGTGCTAAGACTTGACAATCTTAACAAAACTTAGGCGATTAGAATATGATGACTAGAAAGCTAACAAAGAGTGTCTGAAAATTAGATTAAATGTAGAACACAGCAAGCACAGATTGAGGCAGGGGTTCACTACCGTCAGAGAGAGAGAGAGAGAGAGAGAGAGAGAGAGAGAGAGAGAGAGAGAGAGATGGAGAGATATAGACACAGAGAGAGAGAGAGAGACAGAGAGAAAGAGAGAGAGAGAGACAGAGAGAACTGTTAATAACTTGGAGACATTCAAAAACAAAAACACTTCCTTTCGACCCTTGATTAAATTGTAAATAAGTATATAATAAAAGGTCTATGTAGAGTCTTTGCATACCGGAATTTGCTGATACATGGAGGGGGATTCAAAATTCTCTAATTTTTTGTTCTTTAATTTATGAGTTTCAATTTCAAGAAGAAAGACGTTCAGTTATCGTGCGATGTCTGCGAAAATGAAAAAGTGAGTGAACATTTGTCAAAAGAAAAGAATAATAACAAAAGGTAACTGAAAACATCGCAGTCTCGAGTGATAAACAAAAGGTGTGTATTTACAAAAATAAATAAATAAATAAAAATAAATATGTACATAAAATAATATAAATATATATAAATAATTAAATAATTTAAAAAATAAACATAATCATACATTGGGGGAGGGGGGGGGAGAGAGAGCTCCGTAAGACATCTTTCTTTTCAAGTGAATATGATATAATATTTGATAGAATGTTGTTGCCAATGTTTATAAAACTGTGACGATACCCCCCCCCCCCCCGCCCTCCACCCCCAAGTTCGAATGCACTATATGCTCCCAAATCAACAATTAGAGGACTTTAATTGTCTATCTCCCTTTCTTTTTCTTAATTATCAAGTTTTACATATTATAAACATTAACTTTCTAGAGAACGATTGATGTGGAACTTTTTAATAAGGGTATAAATTCATGGTTATCACCGTTGTAATGCGAGATAACTCGTACGCACTTATGGAGAGATAACTCCTGCTAGCCACCCTGCAAGCGGTACCAGATAGCCACGACCGATAAAAACACACAACGAGTTGGATAAAAGTCATATCCAACTACAAATCATGGGAGATTCTTTTTATCCCTTGTTTAATACTTCACAACCAATGTTTTACACTGTTTTATATAGGACTCCACTTTATTTTACTTCATCACGCTAACGCAAAAACCATTGTGACGTCACAACTGCACTTAACTGTGGATTATGAAAAATTTATCCAATGAGTCATATCCACGGGATAAAGGGGTAAACATGGGATAAAATAAGGTTCGGTACACCGAACCTTTATCACTTTCAATACATCAATACATTTCAGTATCGGAGAAAATAATTACAATCTTAATTCAAAAATAATAAGCGCTAATATCAATTAAGCAGTTTCTATTTATATTAGAAATTAGATGGAGAATATACCTCTGTCAACGTTAAATCCTATTATTGACTGGGTCTTTATTGTAGAAACACGAGTCTTATTTCGCAATTCTTTAGTTATTGCTTCATTTTAGGTCTGAGTGAAGCATAAATGGACAATTCTTAAAGTGACCTAACAATATATATATTAATTATAGTACATTGTTCCTAATTTTCACCAAAGAACAGTAAAAAACGGGAGAACCCCCGGAAAAGTTTCTTGTGTTTCTTACTTCAGTCAATTTTTAGGAGATATGTCTTCACTTTTATCAATAAAATCCACTTAATTTTTTTTAATAAAACAAATTCTAATCGCACATCAACTAATGATTTAATACAACATAATAATGCCTGCAAGTTCGAGCAGATTCGTGAGAAAACTTGAAAGTGATGAAGTAAAAATTGATAAATTGTCTGATTTAAATAAATAGTACACAGAATCCACGGCCATTCTCGTATACGCTTATTGAGCGTATAAGCGTATCCGAGATTGGCCGTGGGTTTTCGACGATGACTTCACAGACGTTTTTTTTAATAAATTAAACCTTCAAACATTTGCTTTAGTTAAACCTCATAAAAACCTGAACTCGCCCAAAAAGGGATAAAATTCGTCGTTTTTTTTTTGTTTTGTTTTATTATGTTTGCCTTTTTTTTTTTAATTTATTTATTAAAAAAAATGAAAAGCACCTTATTACCAAGAATTTGTACTTATAATTTATATTACCTATCAAAAATATCAAAAAGTCTTTGATTTGGTTGTGTACACAGTTTTTTTTCCTTACTTATTTCATTCTTCTTTTGTCTGATTTTAGAATTAAGGTAGTACACAATGGATAGGCCAAATTTTCCTACAAATTCAATTTTTTTGAAACTTTGCAATTTTGATCTAGGATACAAAATCCCTTTTTATATGTATATGAAGGAAATTTAATCACTTATTTTTTGCCCACATATTTTGAAATATGGCCTATCGGACCCCTGTAAGAAAAATCTGAAATCAGACATTTCACTTGAGTTTGTGCTATATTCAAAAATTACCAATCTGTCTATTGCGAATTTGTGTGATGCTGTTTTTAAATACAACCTTTTCTGTTACTAAATTTCAGTAAATTATATTGATACCGGTATATTTGAGTAAAATATGATGAAAAATAAAATATATACATAGCCCAGGAATTGGAAATTAAAACTCAGATGAAAATGTGTCAAAACGAGGAAAATTGAATCGACAGTTTTAGATATTTTGGCGATTAAAAAAATATTCAATGCAAAAAAATTAAAAGAATCACTAGATGATGTCACAATATTTGACCTTTGACCTTTTAATATGACATCGACCTTTACTATTTATAAAAGATGGAGACTCCTTATGAATATTTCCAAATATGAGGTCTCTACTGTATATGGATCAAAAGTTACTTTGCATTCAATAACAGTCGCCCGCTGGCGCAGTGGTTAGAGCGTCTGCTGTAGATCGAGTCGCGGAGTAAGGAGTTGATCAATACGTCGCGTGTTCGAGTTCCACTGCGGGACGTTGAGAGTTGTCCTTCGGATGAGACCGTAAAAAGCGAGGTCCCGTGTCGCAGTAGGTGCTGGCACAAAAAAGATCCCTCGCTGCGCAATGGCCCTCAGAGCCGAGTATAGGTCAAAATTTGTAGCCCTCCACCGGCAAATGGTGGCGTCTCCATATGAGTGAAAATTCTCGAGAGGGACGTTAAACAACAAACAAACAAACAAAAAAAAAAGCATTCGATAACAGACTGTCATATCTCATGTAGATGGCATAAACACTTCTAAAATGTAGGCTCCCGAATGACCAATATATAAAATATCTCTAATTTTTACAAAATATGGCAAAAACATATCACAGCTTTTTATTTTTCTAACAAAGATCATTGATTATTGACATTATAGTGATATTATTCTTTTTTCCTGGTGTACTTAATAAGAAATGAGTTAAAACAGATTTTATGGGTGTTTTGTACTACCTTAAATGCTTACTTTTCCTAATAAACTACAAAAGGGTCAAAATGTACAGGCCCGTAGAACGCGGGGGGAGGGCGCACATTTTTCTGAGTACTGTATTCTGCTATAGTAAATGTTCATTTAGATGATGGTTGTGCCTCCCCCCCTCCCCCCACTTTTGTAACTGTAAGGTCGAGCACTGTCAAAATTCAGGATTTGGACAGTTAAGGAGGGTTTTTTTTTATTGTGTCAGATTTCCCTCCACTTTTGAAACTGTTGCTACGGGCCTGATGTCATTGAACATATTATTAAAAATTGTCAAAATGTAATACATTATCATGAAGGATTGTTTATGCTGTGTATCATGATCTTCTAAATGATTTTTTTTTTTAAATTTCCTAATTAATTATATTTTCTTGTAGAGATGGGTCCTCTGTTTGTTCTGATATTCCTCAAATTCGCCCTGTTCGGTGAGTAGTTATTTAATGCTGTTTTAATCCGGAAATACACTTGATTTAGCGTATGAACTAATAAAAATCAAATGTAGGCTATATTAAGTTTGAACAGTTAGGTGTTTTAAAATACAACTGAGTCCATAAGGTTGGGCAGTTATCAAAGTAATTATTTCAAGGAATTTTTGCATTGTAACATTTTATTTATAACATTTCTTTGTGTTGAAGTATTACCGTTTCTGCAATAATACAACTTTTTTTTTACATTAAAAAATCGTTGAATACTTAAAAAGGTACAAAATAGATGTATTGAAATAACTATGACATTTAACTTCTAATAAATTTTAAAAGTGACACAAAATTGAATAGGTTTCATAATCAATTTTTGATTTTAAAATTTTTCATTACACAATACGATAATGTTAAATATAGCTACAGGACTTGTCTTTCATGTGTTAAAAAATTATACCTACTGAAATATTTAAAAAAAAGAGGAAAAATAGGAAGATAGGAAAACATTGGTCGCAAACTAATTTTTCTTTCCATACCTTTAAGCTTTTTTTTTGTTTGTTTCTTTCTTTCCATTTTTTCTTTTTTTTTCAACTGGAAATGTTTAAAAAAGAAGTAAATATATTCTTATGAAATAAAAGATATCATTTAAACTTAAAACCATTAACCTGTATAAATCTCTTGTCTTACTAGCAACCATCCTTAATTTTTAATTATACTCTTTTATCTTACTATGTTTGAATCTTTTTGATAATATGGTAGCCTAGAATAAAGTTGTAATGTGTTCTTAACAATGAAAAATATGCATATTTGCGAAGGTTTAAAAAAGACAACTCAAAGTTTAAAGGGATTTGAAGCTCATATTTTCTAAAACTTTCCAAATAATATCATGACTTATAAGTTGTTAGAACATTTCATACCGAGATATATTAAAAGAGTGTTAAAAAAAATTCTTTTATCTTGAAATTATTAAAAACTACGATTTTCGGGACGCGTTTGATTGACACATATCCTTGCTCTTTTACAAAATAAATTTAATTCGTAATACTTAAGAAAGGTAGAAATCCTGTTGTGTATCAATGAAAAATATGAAAACTTTAATCTACAAAGTTCACAGTAGAAATACTAGAAAGCAAAACCAACCAATTTACCAGTATTTTCAATCCGTGCTCAGTGATGTGTGCAAACTAAACAAATTGAACACACCCGGTTAAACATAAACACTAACAATAACAGAGCTAGTGCCCAATGTACAAACACATGTGTTTGACGTAATGCTATGAAGAAAGCCGTTGTCATTGAATTCCTATAATATTCATGAAAGTTCAAATCATTAAACTGAAGTTATTTTTGAATAAAATTAGACATTTAAAATTGTAAACAATGCAGCTGTGTCCAGGCCCCTTTAAAAAAGAAAACCGTTTCATAGAAAAAAAAATGATTAAGAACAACATTTTCAAATTGAAAAACTTTATTTGTAGCACAAGCACAGATATCATCAAGCTACAGTGAAAGTACAGGTGGATTATACACGGGAAGCAGTGATTACAGTACAGAACAACAAGGATATTACACCTACAGTAGTCAATACTATCACACAACATCGAGTAGCTGTACTTATTACACAGACCACTTTGGATCCACTTTCTCTGGAGGATCTTATTCTGTAGGACCATGTACCGATACAACCTGGTACCCAAGCAGTTCCTATCCCTATACCGATAGCAACGGGTTCACACAATGGACAACCACCAACGGCGTATATACAGATACCAATCATTATCCATACACCTCAAGTAGTAGCTGTACTTATTACACAGACCACTTTGGATCCAGTTTCTATGGAGGATCTTATTCTGTAGGACCATGTACCGATACAACCTGGTACCCAAGTAGTTCCTATCCCTATACCGATAGCAACGGGTTTACACACTGGACAACCACCAACAGCTTTTATACAGATACCAATCATTATCCATACACCTCAAGTAGTAGCTGTACTTATTACACAGACCACTTTGGATCCAGTTTCTCTGGAGGATCTTATTCTGTAGGACTATGTACCGATACAACCAGGTACCCAAGCAGTTCGTATCCTTATACCGATAGCAACGGGTTCACACACTGGACAACCACCAACAGCTTTTATACAGATACCAATCATTATCCATACACCTCAAGTAGTAGCTGTACTTATTACACAGACCACTTTGGATCCAGTTTCTATGGAGGATCTTATTCTGTAGGACCATGTACCGATACAACCTGGTACCCAAGCAGTTCGTATCCTTATACCGATAGCAACGGGTTCATACACTGGACAACCACCAACAGCTTTTATACAGATACCAATCATTATCCATACACCTCAAGCAGTAGCTGTACGTATTACACAGACCACTTTGGATCCAGTTTCTCTGGAGGATCTTATTTTGTAGGACCATGTACCGATACAACCTGGTACCCAAGCAGTTCGTATCCTTATACCGATAGCAACGGGTTCACACACTGGACAACCACCAACAGCTTTTATACAGATACCAATCATTATCCATACACCTCAAGCAGTAGCTGTACTTATTACACAGACCACTTTGGATCCAGTTTCTCTGGAGGATCTTATTCTGTAGGACCATGTACCGATACAACCTGGTACCCAAGCAGTTCGTATCCTTATACCGATAGCAACGGGTTCACACACTGGACAACCACCAACAGCTTTTATACAGATACCAATCATTATCCATACACCTCAAGCAGTAGCTGTACTTATTACACAGACCACTTTGGATCCAGTTTCTCTGGAGGATCTTATTCTGTAGGACCATGTACCGATACAACCTGGTACCCAAGCAGTTCGTATCCTTATACCGATAACAACGGGTTCACACAATGGACAACCACCAACAGCTTTTATACAGATACCAATCATTATCCATACACCTCAAGCAGTAGCTGTACGTATTACACAGACCACTTTGGATCCAGTTTCTATGGAGGATCTTATTCTGTAGGACCATGTACCGATACAACCTGGTACCCAAGCAGTTCGTATCCTTATACCGATAGCAACGGGTTCACACACTGGACAACCACCAACAGCATTTATACAGATACCAATCATTATCCATACACCTCAAGCAGTAGCTGTACTTATTACACAGACCACTTTGGATCCAGTTTCTATGGAGGATCTTATTCTGTAGGACCATGTACCGATACAACCTGGTACCCAAGCAGTTCGTATCCTTATACCGATAGCAACTGGTTCACACACTGGACAACCACCAACAGCTTTTATACAGATACCAATCATTATCCATACACCTCAAGCAGTAGCTGTACTTATTACACAGACCACTTTGGATCCAGTTTCTATGGAGGATCTTATTCTGTAGGACCATGTACCGATACAACCTGGTACCCAAGCAGTTCGTATCCTTATACCGATAGCAACGGGTTCACACACTGGACAACCACCAACAGCTTTTATACAGATACCAATCATTATCCATACACCTCAAGTAGTAGCTGTACTTATTACACAGACCACTTTGGATCCAGTTTCTATGGAGGATCTTATTCTGTAGGACCATGTACCGATACAACCTGGTACCCAAGCAGTTCGTATCCTTATACCGATAGCAACGGGTTCACACACTGGACAACCACCAACAGCTTTTATACAGATACCAATCATTATCCATACACCTCAAGTAGTAGCTGTACTTATTACACAGACCACTTTGGATCCAGTTTCTCTGGAGGATCTTATTCTGTAGGACCATGTACCGATACAACCTGGTACCCAAGCAGTTCGTATCCTTATACCGATAGCAACGGGTTCACACACTGGACAACCACCAACAGCTTTTATACAGATACCAATCATTATCCATACACCTCAAGCAGTAGCTGTACGTATTACACAGACCACTTTGGATCCAGTTTCTCTGGAGGATCTTATTTTGTAGGACCATGTACCGATACAACCTGGTACCCAAGCAGTTCGTATCCTTATACCGATAGCAACGGGTTCACACACTGGACAACCACCAACAGCTTTTATACAGATACCAATCATTATCCATACACCTCAAGCAGTAGCTGTACTTATTACACAGACCACTTTGGATCCAGTTTCTATGGAGGATCTTATTCTGTAGGACTATGTACCGATACAACCTGGTACCCAAGCAGTTCGTATCCTTATACCGATAGCAACGGGTTCACACACTGGACAACCACCAACAGCTTTTATACAGATACCAATCATTATCCATACACCTCAAGCAGTAGCTGTACTTATTACACAGACCACTTTGGATCCAGTTTCTCTGGAGGATCTTATTCTGTAGGACCATGTACCGATACAACCTGGTACCCAAGCAGTTCGTATCCTTATACCGATAACAACGGGTTCACACAATGGACAACCACCAACAGCTTTTATACAGATACCAATCATTATCCATACACCTCAAGCAGTAGCTGTACGTATTACACAGACCACTTTGGATCCAGTTTCTATGGAGGATCTTATTCTGTAGGACCATGTACCGATACAACCTGGTACCCAAGCAGTTCGTATCCTTATACCGATAGCAACGGGTTCACACACTGGACAACCACCAACAGCATTTATACAGATACCAATCATTATCCATACACCTCAAGCAGTAGCTGTACGTATTACACAGACCACTTTGGATCCAGTTTCTATGGAGGATCTTATTCTGTAGGACCATGTACCGATACAACCTGGTACCCAAGCAGTTCGTATCCTTATACCGATAGCAACGGGTTCACACACTGGACAACCACCAACAGCATTTATACAGATACCAATCATTATCCATACACCTCAAGCAGTAGCTGTACTTATTACACAGACCACTTTGGATCCAGTTTCTATGGAGGATCTTATTCTGTAGGACCATGTATCGATACAACCTGGTACCCAAGCAGTTCGTATCCTTATACCGATAGCAACGGGTTCACACACTGGACAACCACCAACAGCTTTTATACAGATACCAATCATTATCCATACACCTCAAGCAGTAGCTGTACTTATTACACAGACCACTTTGGATCCAGTTTCTATGGAGGATCTTATTCTGTAGGACCATGTACCGATACAACCTGGTACCCAAGCAGTTCGTATCCTTATACCGATAGCAACGGGTTCACACACTGGACAACCACCAACAGCTTTTATACAGATACCAATCATTATCCATACACCTCAAGTAGTAGCTGTACTTATTACACAGACCACTTTGGATCCAGTTTCTATGGAGGATCTTATTCTGTAGGACCATGTACCGATACAACCTGGTACCCAAGCAGTTCGTATCCTTATACCGATAGCAACGGGTTCACACACTGGACAACCACCAACAGCTTTTATACAGATACCAATCATTATCCATACACCTCAAGTAGTAGCTGTACTTATTACACAGACCACTTTGGATCCAGTTTCTCTGGAGGATCTTATTCTGTAGGACCATGTACCGATACAACCTGGTACCCAAGCAGTTCGTATCCTTATACCGATAGCAACGGGTTCACACACTGGACAACCACCAACAGCTTTTATACAGATACCAATCATTATCCATACACCTCAAGCAGTAGTTGTACGTATTACACAGACCACTTTGGATCCAGTTTCTCTGGAGGATCTTATTCTGTAGGACCATGTACCGATACAACCTGGTACCCAAGCAGTTCGTATCCTTATACCGATAGCAACGGGTTCACACACTGGACAACCACCAACAGCTTTTATACAGATACCAATCATTATCCATACACCTCAAGCAGTAGCTGTACGTATTACACAGACCACTTTGGATCCAGTTTCTATGGAGGATCTTATTCTGTAGGACCATGTACCGATACAACCTGGTACCCAAGCAGTTCGTATCCTTATACCGATAGCAACGGGTTCACACACTGGACAACCACCAACAGCTTTTATACAGATACCAATCATTATCCATACACCTCAAGCAGTAGCTGTACGTATTACACAGACCACTTTGGATCCAGTTTCTCTGGAGGATCTTATTCTGTAGGACCATGTACCGATACAACCTGGTACCCAAGCAGTTCGTATCCTTATACCGATAGCAACGGGTTCACACACTGGACAACCACCAACAGCTTTTATACAGATACCAATCATTATCCATACACCTCAAGCAGTAGCTGTACTTATTACACAGACCACTTTGGATCCAGTTTCTCTGGAGGATCTTATTCTGTAGGACCATGTACCGATACAACCTGGTACCCAAGCAGTTCGAATCCTTATACCGATAGCAACGGGTTCACACAATGGACAACCACCAATAGCTTTTATACAGACACCGATCATTATCCATACACCTCAAGTAGTAGCTGTACTTATTACACAGACCACTTTGGATCCAGTTTCTATGGAGGATCTTATTCTGTAGGACCATGTACCGATACAACCTGGTACCCAAGCAGTTCGTATCCTTATACCGATAGCAACGGGTTCACACACTGGACAACCACCAACAGCTTTTATACAGATACCAATCATTATCCATACACCTCAAGTAGTAGCTGTACTTATTACACAGACCACTTTGGATCCAGTTTCTATGGAGGATCTTATTCTGTAGGACCATGTACCGATACAACCTGGTACCCAAGCAGTTCGTATCCTTATACCGATAGCAACGGGTTCACACAATGGACAACCACCAACAGCTTTTATACAGATACCAATCATTATCCATACACCTCAAGCAGTAGCTGTACGTATTACACAGACCACTTTGGATCCAGTTTCTCTGGAGGATCTTATTCTGTAGGACCATGTACCGATACAACCTGGTACCCAAGCAGTTCGTATCCTTATACCGATAGCAACGGGTTCACACACTGGACAACCACCAACAGCTTTTATACAGATACCAATCATTATCCATACACCTCAAGCAGTAGCTGTACTTATTACACAGACCACTTTGGATCCAGTTTCTCTGGAGGATCTTATTCTGTAGGACCATGTACCGATACAACCTGGTACCCAAGCAGTTCGAATCCTTATACCGATAGCAACGGGTTCACACAATGGACAACCACCAATAGCTTTTATACAGACACCGATCATTATCCATACACCTCAAGTAGTAGCTGTACTTATTACACAGACCACTTTGGATCCAGTTTCTATGGAGGATCTTATTCTGTAGGACCATGTACCGATACAACCTGGTACCCAAGCAGTTCGTATCCTTATACCGATAGCAACGGGTTCACACACTGGACAACCACCAACAGCTTTTATACAGATACCAATCATTATCCAGATACCTCAAGTGGTTTCTCCAATGTATTGTTTTCCTCACATGCACAGTCATCTACGTATCTTACAACTATGGGGTCATTTATATCTTCTTTTTTCGACCAATCATATTTGACCACGTCTTTGTATAAGTCATCCATTTCCTCCTTTAACATTCATTCATCGATGACCTCTGATTCTAGTTTGAGTCTCATATCTGGGACTTCTTCTCAATATTTCTTGTCTAGTTCTAGCTTTCAATATTTAACGTCAGCAGCTCACTTGTCTTCTTTTTACACTTCTAATGTTCATTCACTCGTAGCCACATCTTCTATAGACTTTGTTCAGACATCCATTCAATCATCTTTAAATGTTCAATCAATACTACCCACAACATCTCCACAGTCATCCACAATATCTACTCCCCAGTCAATCTCATCCTTTATCCAATCATCTACAATGTCCTCTGCTATCCAGCCGTACACGACTTCTTCTATTATGCAATCATCTACACTGTCATCTGATATCCATTCTTCCATGCCTTCTATTATGCAATCATCTTCAATATCCTCTGCTTTCCATTCATCAACGACTTTTTCTCTTCAATCGTCCATTATTTCTGCTATCCAATCATCGGTACCCACTTCCATTCAATCAACCATGTCTTCTTCATCTGTTCTATCTGTTGTAACATCTACGACCCAGTCACCTATCCAGTCAACAAGTTTTCTCCAATCAACGATGTCTTTATCTCCATTCTCAACAGCAACATCAAGCTCTATGATTCCAACATCATTTATGCTTTTATCCTCACCGTCCACGGCTCCGACTAGTTCATCACCTTCTTTGATGTCAACCACCACGGCAAATATAGTGGTAAGTACACAGAGTCTTACACTTCTGTTTCATATTTCAATATTTTACTAGAAAAAGACCTTTATGATAACCTAACAACCAAGCTTTATGACAATATACCCTTATCACCTGCATATGGGGTTCATGTCTCTCAGCTGATTCGATAATAAAGAGCATGCTCAACGTACAAACAATTTCTAAAACGAGGCAAGCTATTGACAAACAAGTTGATGAAACAAGAACATAAACAATCTAGTTGAAAGTCATAATTTCGAATTTTATGGTCGATACAATAATCTTCTCAGCAAATACAATATATTATTAAGTCAAATGGTGACTGACGTTATTCATACTAATTGTTAGGCCATTCTTTACACACTGAATTGTCTATGGATTTTTCCGTTTTTCCCGATCATGACAAGGAGCAAGCGGGGAATGTGACCGGTCGGCAGGGGATGCTCTCTCCTCTATGGCACCTAATGGACTTTTGAGCTTGAATATTTCACTTGACACCTTACCTATATATTATTTCAAGGTTTTTATATATCATTTCATACCGGGCAAAACTTTTGAAATACTTACTTTATATGACATTTTACAAAAGTGGAGCTTGATAAGCTAACCCTAGCCCAATCGTCCAATAATTATTATCATCATTTTACGAATTAGTACAGAGATATAATACTTCAGTCAATAAAGATGAATTTGATTTTAGAATTGGTTATAAAAAAGCAAAATCTTTTGATACTATGTTTTACATTTTTGTTGTTGTTAATTTTGATTTTTTTTCTTTATAGACATCAACACCTGCGATAGGTATGTAGTGTTTTTACTTTATTTTTTTACTAGTAAATATGCTTTACCCCATGTAAATGCTTTTGAGAAATACGTTTAAGTAATTACTATTATATTTTTTCATGTTACGTTTGAGTTCACGTATTCCTTTTTGGATGGAAAAAGGAATTTTTTCTAATGTTGTTATCTACTTTTTCTCATTACCATGAAAATGAAAGAGTAAATTCATATATGCTAGATATAACTCATTCAATGAAATTTTTATCCAGTTATAAAGAGATCAAAAACGAAGTGTGGAAATTTAACTAAATATGTGAAAAAGAACACCATGTCTGTAAAAATAATCATGTTTTTACGGGGACATGCTTTTCAATATCTGTATTCTACTTGATTTAATTAATTAACATAAGGATAATTGTAAACATTCCTATTTTAGCTTGCTTTGAGGTATTATATTTCTGTTTTCAAAACAGTTGCTTGTCGCGTAACTACCAACACATCTTGTATTCAAGCTATTAAATATTCAAATGGAGGAGATTTAGATATCAGAGTGATCTTTATAATTGATCAAAATATAGAATGAGATAAAATGAACAGTGGAAACCAAGCAGGTTTTCCATATTTGTTATTCATTGTCTAAAATATTTAAAAACTTTTCTCGATAATTCAGATTGTTGAAGCTATTGCTTGACTGTTAATATTGTCTTGATGTAAAGGATTCTGTAAAGGATAATAACATTTAAATCGTCAAACATTGTCTGATGACGAGAGCTCAAATTTCACATAGGCACGCTTTAAATCTCTAAGTCTTCCACCGATTGCAAAATAATTTTTGAAATGCTTCGCTACCTAATTGAGAAGCAGTGAAATATGAGAATTAATCAAGCTATTCCTGTAAAATATTGAGAAAATTGTGCTTTTCCATTCATAGACCTCGATTATCAAATACATACATGAAAAACAGTGCATGAAAATAAAAATAAATATTTAATAGAAGGTGCGTTAAAAATTTTAAATGTTTGGATGTGTACATTGAAAATTATTCATTTCACTTGATATATATTTAGGACTAAACATGACACAGATTTAAATACCATAGCCACCATTAATCGTTTACTTGGGGATTTAAACAGTTTAACCGATATTTCTTAAAATCAATATGTTAATTGACGATGCAACCCTTGGGGCGTTTACAAATGTGAATTTAAAAAAAGAATAACATTTACTTTTAACTTACTCTTTAACTGCTCTTTAAAAAGCACGAGGCATTTGGGAGTACTTGACTGTGACGTTGCATGTCACTTGAATTTCCATAAAACAAGCTAACTTTCTTTTTTTTATTTGTGAACTTTTGTTTGGTTATCACGAGAACGAAGTTTGGGCAGCCATATGCAATTTATTGAGTATTGTGGGTATCGAATTTCATGAAAAAAAAATATCAATGTGCAGACAGTCCGAATATTCTCTTTTCTCAGACGTTGCTTAAAGAGCTCGAAATGCATCTATTCACCAGGAGCATCACAGATTCAATTGAAGTAATCTTATTAAAGTAAAACTAGTGTTTACATGTCTTTGAGTCTGTAATTATCCTTTTCGCAATTTCTCCAAGAATGTCTTAATTTAACCCAACATTTTAGTCAAATACATTTTATGCCTCCGCCATAAAATTTTCCTTTAAAAATTGACTAGTTTTTATGACTTTTGGGGCACTTTTCGTTAGCTTGGGTTTTACAAAGGTCGATCCTTTAAATTGGGCGACCCCCACGGTTCTGAGATTAGAAACAAAAGTACCGACCTATACCTCGTAAATTACGGTATGTTTGAGGTTGGAATTGCATATGCAGATATTTTACCAGAAAATACAGGTCAGGTTCGAATTTGGTCACGGTCCGATGATTGTTGACAGAGTTATCCCTCTTGAACTTGGATAAAAATAAGAAATTTTCAGTTTCCAGTCTCTAACTTTTACAGTGATGTATGTATAAGATTGAAATTGGATATGCAGGTATTTTACCAGATAATACAAGTCAAGTTTGAATTTCGTCCTGGTGCAAACAAATTTAAAACTTAAAAATGGCATTTGAAATTTTGGCTGCCTGCGGGGACATTAGTGGCGTTACGACACATCTAGTTATGTCAGGGGGTATTCATAGTTGTCACAGAAGGATCAGTGAAAGGATATTCAGTTTGATGACAGTTGGTCGCCTAGATAGAGCTCACAAGGAGTCATTCATCAGTTGAATTTCCTTTTGACTATTAATTACCTGCGTGGTCTCTAATTTTTTCCCTTGCTTTCATTGTAAATTCTTGGAACATCTGCTTAAATGCTAAATTAATATGTTGACGGTGCGGCAGTTGGGGCGACCGCAGTTGACCACTTTATTTTTACTCGGAGCTCCTCGCACACTAACCTCGGACGTGAACAGTGTTTTACAATTTTGATAATTCATCATATGATCTAATCCGAAATTCCTCCAAATATTATTCCTTTGAAATCTGAGTTACTTTCTGGCAAGCCCAACACTATGTTTTTGCTTTCAAGGATTAATAACACAATGTTGTAATCAAAGCCAATATACATGAAGAATTAGCTAAGACAGGAAACTCTTTTTTTGTGAACTTATGCAGTGCAAAACATGAAATGGGTTAAAAGGCTGCAGAGAAATGTATCGATTTGATGCAAATTCCTGCACCAATCACATCCAAGGTTTAAATGGAGCGTAGTGGAGACAATCCGAGGATTGCCGATTGCTCAATTTTAAGATCCGCCTCTTCAAACCGCACGAGGCATTTGGAACGTCTAGTCTGTGAAGTCACATGACGTCGTATGTTATCTGCATTTCTATAAAAGCGAAGTTTGAAAAGTGCAAAAAAAATCTCAAAGAACGTTTAATCTACTATTTGTATGCATTATCCATTAAATCAAGATATTTTGTTGTTACCGAAAAACGAAGTTAACAGCGAGATCCATAGCGCTGCATTTTGGTCTCGGGGTAACTGCGGAAAAAATAATTTGGATCAATGTTCAAAGTCCGAATTTTCTCTTCGCCCAATCGTTGTCGATGGAGCTCGCTGTGCTCGATATAATATAAAATACAATGGAATACAAACAAATAATGTGTTGACGGTATGACCGTTAGGGCGAGCGCAGATACCTCTTCAGTTTAATATAGATCAGGCTCTTCAAACCTCACGTGACATTTGGTACTTCTAGACTCTGACGTCACTTGACGTCGTATGTAATTTGCATTACCAAAACAAAGTCTGAACAGTGCTAATTAATAAAAAAAGTAATCTACTATTAATCTGTTATTTGTTTATTAAATCAAGGTTAGTTTATTTTGTTCTTGGAACTTCTGGGTACCACGAGAACGTAGTTTGCGGCGAGATGCAATTCGCAAAGCATTATGGGACCACAGGTTACTGCGGAAAAAATTCATTAAGATCAGTGTGCAAATTCCGAATTTTCTCTTTGCCCAGGCGTTGCTTTAAAAGCTCGCAGGAACGAGCGGCACTTCGTAATGTTCTCTGCGCTCGCTTTAAGTCATTTATAAAAAATGAAAGAAGAAAGGTGATTATTTTTCTATGGAGAAAAAATAAAGTGCAAGAAAATTCATGTGATTTTGATTTGAGAAGAACAAGAAAATATGTGTGATTTTGAATTGATAAGTGCATAAGATTTTTACTGGATTATTTTTCAGTAACAGTGGACCCGCCAACCCTTAGTTTGACCCCGCAAGTTGTGGCCACCAGAGATTCCTCAACAAGTGGGACCAGCTTGGAACCTGTGATGAGATGTCAGTTTCCGCAACCGGCAGATGGCTCTCTACTTTATAACATACAGTGGTACATAAACAACAACCCCCTGGCTAATGCCACATTTACTAAAATAGAATACAACAATTTGAACATCAGCACGGCCTTAAGACCCAACCACTGGACAGGAACTTACAGACTGAACATGAATGTAAGTAGGAAAAACTTCAATGATGTCATCCATTGTAATTAGTTTACTTATAATTCAACTATTCAATCAGTACTAATTGGAAATTCAAATATCTGAACTGTGCATAAAACACATACTATTACATTGTGGTTGGGAAATAGGCTGGAAAAGTACAGAAATAGGGATGACCTTCGAATTGGACCCATGAAATAATATTCTGCGGCAGGAAGCGAGTGACATTGTAGAAAATGTGCTAATAGTTTTAAAAGTGATGTGTATGATTTCAAATTTATCATAGTAAAGCGAGAGAAACAGAGAATGGGTGCATTTCTGTTGAAATACCATTGGATACGTATTGAATATTTTGAGTAACGGCAAGATTATAATGGATTTTTTTAAAGTATTCATAAAAGCATCTGAACACGCATCCGTATCGAAAAAAACTGGTATATATCGATCCCTGTAGCTTAGATAGACGCAAGTTCATAACACGTTTTTATTTAATATTATTGGTTATGAATTAATACGACAAGATTATGATGATAAAAAAAAAAAAGAAAAAAAAGAAATCATAATCTCTTGGATATTTTATTCATTATTTTTTGATACCGTAAATAGAATCCGGAGATTCAGAACAATTTCTTTTACAAATTCAGAGACCACTAAATAATTATTATAATCATGTTTACACTTCTTTTCTTTCAGTCTCTCATAAAATTTAAACATATATTCATAAAAAAATACAATGAAAAACGCCCTAATTCACATGAAACAGCACGATTTGATGCCTTTCTATGTAAACTCCCCCCCCCCCCTACCGTCACGGTAGCTCAGTGGTAGAGCGCTAGCTCCGTGATCGGTCGTGAGTTCGTATCTCGGCCGCGACTGACCTAAGTCGATAAAAAATATGTGGCAAGGTTCCTTCGCCAAGCGCTCGGCACTTTGAACTGAAAGTTGCGGGTCCTTCGGATGAGACCTTAAAAACCGAGGCCCCGTGTCAGGGCAGACGTTGGCACGATAAATATTCCTCACTGCTCAATGGCCCTGAGTGCCGAGTAAAGGTCGAAATTTGAAGCCCTTCACCGGTATATGATGATCATGACGTCTCTATATTAGTGAAAAATTCTCATATGGGACGTAAAACAACATAAAATCAATCAATCAATCAATCAATCTATGTACCTTTAGTATTTCCTTATATAACATGTTTTACGGTGTAACCGTTGGGGAGAATGCAGTTGTACCATCAAAAACCTATACACAGCTTATATTGTAACGTTGATCCACCTCTTCAAACTTCAAACCGCACGAGACACAGTCTAGACTGTGACGTCATATGACGTCGGAATTTACACAAAAAGCCGAGCGTCTGGTTGAACGAGAATACATATCTTGTGCAATATTAAACGAAATACGTTGTAGAGTAGATGCAATTATTTTTTGTTTCTTTTAAACTTTCTGCAAAGAAAGAAAAGTAAACGTATCTCTTAGTAAGAAACATTTGTATGTTTTGTAATACTTTCGCATGGAATACTGGTTATTCTGGGAATGTTTCACAAGAAAATTTGCCTGACGAATGTACAGATTTCATTCCGAATTTCCTCTTTTCTTAGACATTAGTCTATTGAGCTCACTCGCTGCGCTGGCTATTAAGGAAATTCTAAAGAAGTTTGTTCTGAAGACATGAAATTAAATTGAATCACATTTTATTGTATGAAGATACTCGTTTACAAGTGTTATCAGTACAAATATATTGTCGGTTGTTCTATGATTTTTTCCGTCGCCCGCGTGGCGCAGTGGTTAGAGTTTCTGCTCTAGAGTCGCGAAATAAGTAGACCGGTCCTTCGGATGAGACCGTATAAACCGAGGTCCCGTGTCACAGTAGGTGCTGGCACAAAAAAGATCCCTCACTGCTCAATGCCCGTAAGTGCCGACTATAGGACAAAATTTGCAGCTCTCCACCGGCAAGTGGTGGCGTCTCCATATGAGTGAAAAATTCTCAAGAGGGACGTTAAACAAAATACAATCAATAAATCAATCATCTATGATTTTTCCTAAGCCCAGATTGATACTGACAGTAGGTTATTCGACTCAAGATAATTATCTTAAGAGGTTTTATAATTATTTAAGGCCTGTAAATGGTTTTCCTGAACAACGTGTAACACTGAGACCTCTATAACTGTATTGATATGGTCATTATATTTATACAATGATGTAATAAGTGAATAGCCCTATTCTTTGGTAATTTTTCCATTTTTAAGTAAAATATTAAACAGTTTTGTAAGAACTTCTTAAATGGTATTGTTGTTTGCTTTAATAAACTCATTTAAATTAAGTCAGGCCCAGCACTTTTACCATTTTTCAGTTTCAAAATGCTTTGTTTTATTTCATCTTGAGTAAACAAGAAGTCTATAGGATTTAGTACCTTATTTTGGTCAGTATACTTGTATTTTGAGGTCTTTGATTTATTTTCTTTCATCTTATTCAAGAAGGCTTTTGGGTTTTATGGTGAAAGTGATTCAATTTCTTCCCCAGTACGGTGATTATTTTAAAATTAAATAAATATTAATGAATATTAACTAAATAAAATTATAATACATGTAAATTATAATAAATTCTACATGCAAACAGAAGTAGAATGCATGGTAGCAAAATGATGGATCATATTAAAGGAAATAAATGCCATCAGCAATTTCTTTAAATTTACTCTGACTTTGACCTTTGACGATCAACTTTCCTGATCAAAGGTCAAGAGTTCCTTCACAGGTGCTTTCATGTTTCTTCGACTCTTCGTTTAGAAGTGAAGAAAGCCTTTCAAAGAACTTGAATCTACCTCTTAAAGCTTCTGCCATAAATTGTCTCGAATCACTCTTGGAGGAACGTCAGTGATTAGCGTTATTAGCACTTTTATTGCGTTCACCCCAAAGGTGGGCTAGAAAAAATTTCTTGTCATGAGATAGCATTTATAAGTATTCTCTATTTCTAGATAATTACTGAACTGAACCATAAGACATGTATAATGAAACGCAAAAGAAACGCAACATCCTATTTTAGGGGGAAATATTATATAATGGATATAATTTTGCATCTAAAAAGTAAGGACATGTTCAACTTTGCAAATATCGGTAATTTAACGGTTGAATGATTTTCAAACCATTACCGGAAGTTAAGTTTGAGTCCGCTAAACAGAAATAAAAAATTACATGTTTAACAAAACATTTGGCAATAATATGGGGTTTTAAGGGTTTGTGTCTGTCTATCATAAGTAATGCAGCAATATTCCGATAAATAAATTCCCCTGTCTTTTCCGTAAGCGATGCCAAGGCTTCCTGAAAATGACTTAAGTACGCATTTCCATTGCTCTAGCTGGAAAATCTTAAAATAAAGGCGATGGAGAGTTGCAGATGCAAATATGCACTACATCACGCCTCAACAGGCTCTTACGTATCATTAGCATGAATGACAGTCCTTGGACCGGAAGTCCAATTGTTACCACCTGCTCTAGGCTAGAGAAAATTCGACCTTATCATCTGAAAAATATGCATTTAAGGACATACGCAACGTAGTTTGAACTTTATTGTCTTTTCCCCTGGAGTTGAAGAGTTCCAATACTTAAAGGAATTGTGTGCTACATTTGTATGTCTATATATGCTGTTGTACACTTCTTCTAAACAAGTTTGGACAAACAAAACATCTAGAATATGTGTTTAGTAATTTTTGTGTATTTTTCTTTGAATTATACAAGAATTTTCATCAATTTATATCTTTTCAAAACCCCTGGTAATGCATGCTGATTTTTTGTCGACGAACATCTGATGGCACTATAACCTTAAAGTAAGAATATCTTGAAAAATTATCAGTAGGTAAGGTACGTTGCGTATGTCCTTAAAAATGGCGAAGAATATTCCTTCTCTCAGATCTCGAGGTTGATGAACCTATTGCATCGTAGAAATCAAGCTGCAATTGTTGTGCATGGCAGTCTTGCACGCTGTAATTGAATGGCCGGGGCGGGGGATGTTTTAACGTCATGAGTTACTTTCTAAAGTTAAATGATAATCATTTAACATTTTTATCAAATCTCTGATGTTTTTAAATCGAGTTTTAACTTACTGCATTCATTTTTGAAAATCATAAGATAAAAAATTCAAATATTTGTAGATTACTGCTTGTTGCGTTTCTTTTGCGTTTCAGTATATAATCATATAAATAAATAATGTTTTAAAATCAATATTTATGTATCGAATACTACAAGATATAAAATATTACAAAATAGAATGAAATGTAGTAAGAAAAAATTTATAACTACCAGAATTATGTAATATTTGCCGTGAAAACAATTTGAAGGATGTAAACTATTGAAAATCAATGAAACTGCTTATAAATAAATCACTAGAAAGAGGCTTGCATTTATTGAATAGGAGATGATAGTAACATCGTGCTTGTTGGCTTTAGATAAACAAAAGGGAAACGTTTATTAATAAAGAAAATTGATATGAAATGTGCCTCTGTTCAAACATATTCAGGGTGTATTCAACTCGATAAAATCGGTAATTCTGCGTATTTTCTGAAAGGTTTTGTACGTTAAAAAATAACATTTTATTTTAAATGACTTTCTCGAGAAAATTCTCATTAATTTGAACACATTTCCACGCTTTGTTTTGGTTCTCGTGTAGGTAGTCCAATCTTCAAATCCTGAAAATCAGGAGTTGGGTAATTGAAAATGACCAAAAAATATGTCTTCGAATTTTCAAAGTAATATATATTAAACATGGTATTTCAACAAAATTCATCATTTACATATTATCATACCATGTATGGAAAATTATCAAATCTCAAATATATTTTCAGGAAATGCGAATAAAAGCACCCACTATGTATTTTCTAATTGAAAATTCATCAACAAATATATTTAAGGATAAAAAACTATAGGCATTTGGAGAAAATTGCATGTTTTTTTAATACTTATACGGTACTTTAGTTCTTCTGTTTACTACAATTGTTATATTATATATATATTGTGTAAAACGTTTGTGCTATCATTGTGAGACTTCAAAGAACACTTCTAATTTCATATCAAGTAATACACATTGGTATATAAGGCTAGATTCAAGGAAATTCAATTTCTCTTAAATGTATTTATTTTTGTACTTTTATGGGGTTTAAATATCAACATTTTACAATATTGTTTCCAAGGCTTCAAAGAACCTTGGATCTATTGAGATGCATAAAATGAAAATTGTTGCACGAGACGATTTCAATTTCAAGCTTCATTTTGAGACTTTGTTAATTACATACTAATTTTAAGAGTTATCCTTCCTGGCTGAGGAGCGATATCCTTAAATTATTTTCTTAATTTTTCATTCCATTCACCATACCATTATAGCTTTGACTTAGAGAAAATGCATCTAGATGCCAAATATATTTTACCTTTCAAATGCTCGGAAGGATATTACGTACGTATCACTTATCTCAGAAAACGTGTAAATAATTAAAACATGAATTTAATTTCCCGTCAAATACTAATGATGTACACGGAAACTTGATTGACAATTTTCTTGGTTTCACTTTATTTTCACTTTCTTCTCCTTAGGAATAGACTTTGTAATAGATATGATTAAATTTCGACAGTCTATTTGTACGTTAAACAGGAATTTGTTTACCTGCACCGAATAAAGATTTTGATCTAAACTAGAGATGGATTCTTTTTAAATTGGTAAAGTGGTAATTGGAGCTGATATAGACTTGTCATCAGAAAATGTTTTCTGTTGGTTTAAGCAGCTTATCTTAATTAAATGCTAATCATACAGGAATTTTTTAATCTATATATTTTATTAATTAGTTTATTTTCTTTTTTGTTGGACAGGTGAATTGCAGCGTTAGCGCCCAGTATTCTAACAGTGTACCTGGTTCAACATTTACAAGCCCTAAGTTCTTTGCTGGTGTCAAGGTATTCATAAAATCCATCCGCTTAATATGTTTATTTTCTCGAGATTTTACAATGCAAGTTTTAGCTTTTAAGGATTCTTATCATAATTTGTACCGGAGTTTATTCATTTAAATTCGTAATAATTGAGAATGACTTTCAAAATTTGGTGTTGCTGGTTATTTTATATACTATGGAATCATTAATGTTCGGGGGGGGGGGGGCAATGTTTGTGGATTTCGTGGGTCATCCTTATCCACGAATTTACATCCCCACGAACAATTATTTTGTTAACATATTTATTTATTGAATCTTCTGTATATACAAGTTACCCACGATATATTACGTCCCCACGAACCAACAAAATTTTGCTTGCCCACGAACATTGACCCCCCACGAATTAAAATAATTCCACATTACCTTTAAGCTCTGAAATTTTAATACCACGATAGAAGTTCTTTAAATATAAGTAATTATTACATGTATACACATCTACAATGAACTTAAATTTATGTATTGTACATCTTTTTCATATTTTTGTGAAAATCTGTTCTACAGAATATGCTCAAATTTTAATCTTATCTCCTAAGCAAAAGTTGAATTGAAGTTTCTCTTGTTATTAGGTAAACCAGACATTTGTAGATGTAGACGAAGGTCAAACAGTAGCCATAGAGGTCACTAGCACACTTCCGGTTGGTTGTAGTGTATCATTATCTGAGTCTGAGAAGGAAACTAATTGTAAGGGGACTTTGTACATAAGAACTACGGAGTATTGGCCGTGGTGCTGGAACGGAGTTAAATATCTGTCGGCAGCATTTCCCGACAATGGATGCCAGCTACATTTCTCGTACAAATATTGGTACGAACCTGTCCAATTAAACATTACAGGATATATGGACGGAATGCGAAACTGGTGGTACAAGTCGACTGACATTAAGCTTGAGCCTGGCACTGACAGCAATCACCTCGCATGGGGGAACATGCAGTTTGATGATACCATTGCTGTACGAATCTTATGTTAAAATATGATAAACTAGAGAATAAAAACATATACAAATAGGTTGATTTTAAAGGTTATCGACAGCAGCAAACTCTATCAGTTAAGAATTTAGTACTGGATCTTCCTATTTTTTGTACTTGTTTTTTCTCTAAAATATTACAGTTTGAAACATAGAAATGTGTCAATCCCTTAATTGTTCTGAATTACTATAAGGATTTCTTGATTTCATTTTAATTGAAATTTATCATTTCTTCAGGTCAGAGTGCATGACAAAGACACGAGTGGGGGAGGTATATGTAGCTCCTATAACGATCCTCATATGCAGACATTTGACGGAATATACTGGGAAAATCAACGCGTGGGAGAATTCGTCATGTATAGACACAAGTCTAAGCCTTTCTCGGTACGTACATGTAACTAGAGCTTCTGTTTGAGGGATTTAAATTTGAGATTAATTAACTTTACCTTAATTAACCAGTATATTCTACTCATAATCTTGTTACTTTACTTTTCTTTATAGTCTTGGAGTGTGAGTTTTAAAAAAATCACATTCTGATGTCAATGGGGGGTCGTGGTAAAATAACACACCCGAGTTTATATCTATTTTCTATTTTAAAGACATATTGCATTTTTTTAAGATGATATAGATAATATGTGCCCCCCCCCCCCCCAATAAAACAAATAGATTTTTTTCGGCATATGTATGTTCTATAATAGACGTTTTTCAACACAGCCCCAACATGGACGTCTGAATACGAATTTTAATACCCATATTCAAAGGCGATATAGGGTTGTTTAGACTCGTTGAAAGGTAAATAAAGTAACAAAATTATGAGTAAAACGTATGGTTTATTAATGGATACCATGCTTTTCACAGGGGAACGCATATAATACAAGAAATAATACCTGAAGCGAGCGTAAATCGAAGGTTTTTACAATGCTTGTATCTGTAGCTCTCCAGTTTTTCTGTCTGAGTTTTCTCAACCAGAGAGCTACAGTTCTGCAACTAAAAAATTATGTATAATAATATATTCATCAAGAATGTCATCTTTAGGCCAATATTTCTTTTTAATGATTTCTGAATGTTGAAATTCAACCGATCAGTGAACTAAGAATCATTCTTGAAAATTACAATAGACTGTTTCGAACATAATGACTACAGTATCACAGGGCAAATTGATTAGGGCTGTCACGAGTACCCGAAATAACCGAGAACCGCGGTCCAAGTTGTTCGGTTCGGTTCCGGTTCCATTTTTCCGGATTTCGGTTCGGGTCTGGTTTATATATTAGAGTCTGTTCAATACAAAAAATGGCGTCGAAATCAAAGGAATGATGACGATAACAGTGAAAAATAAACATCACAACTGAAATCTACTTCATTACATGACAAAACACTTGTCACGGAAGTATTAGATAATTATCAAAACGAGCAGGAATGGTCAGGTTGTGGCTAATAGTAGGCCAAGTCACCGATGTCTAGACGTTCGCATGGTTAAGACTTGTTTTCAATGTAAATTTAATGTAACAAATAAAGATTTTTCAAGTTAAATTCCTGAAATTAAGGTTTAAAATAAATGTAAATACACGACCCGAAAAACCCGAAACCGAACCGAAAATTTACAGAACCGACCCGACCCGAAAAATTTTGGAACCGTGACAGCCCTAAAATTGATACAATAGTTGTTTGGCACATTTTTGTAGGCAGATAATTAAATGACTTTTATTAAACAATCTACATGTATATTGGTTTGAATTGGGTTTTTCATCCTCAATACTATATAAATTTTAGGTCCATGCCTTATTTTCTGCCTGTGTCCCCGGATTTGCAACCTGTAACTGCGGAGTAGCTGTCAAAAGTGGGAATTCACTGTATGTCGTTAGAACCTGCACTAGAGTGTCCGCCAGTCGGGTCCAACTCCTAAGTGTTCCGTATGAACTAATGGATGGATGCGATCCCGACGCCATTGCTGTGCAGAAAACCGGAAGTAGATACCGGGTTGGTTCCATTATTATTAATTATGATTTCTTATCATTTAATTACGAGGGATAGAAAATATGTTATATTGTCTTCAAGATATTTTTTATAATAACATCCTAAGAAGCATCGAAAAAGGCACTAACACGATATTTTCTAAGCATGTAATGCTAAAAGAAGACTTTTTTTGATTGAGAAGAAAGATTTTGGGTTACATATTCATTTATTTTTTGCCACGAAATAAACTTTTTCGTCCAAAATGATTGACAGGTTACTCTCCCTAATGGTGTAGAAGTGACATTCGCCTTGAGTGGTTGGGATAACTGGATCTCGTACGTCCAGATTGTGGCGCCTTCGTCTGATTTTGATAAAACAGAGGGATTGTGTGGTACCTATAACGGGGATACCTCTGATGATTTCATTCCTAAAGGTCAACAAAGCCCTGTAGCTGACGAGAAAACTTTCGCCGTGTCTTGGAGGTAACTTGTATATAAAAATACAGATGATAACAAAGAAATAATAATTTGTTTACTTATATACAATTATTCTTTATTTCATATTATTTGGATTTAACCAGATATCCCAGGGCCTTACAGTCAGTTGAGTATAATACAACACAGTAATGGACCCATAGAAGTATAACATAAAACAGGGATGGGCACGATTACTGACAAATGTAATCGATTAATAATCGATTACTCAGAGAAATTTTGTGTAATCGATTAATAATCGATTACACTCATTTTTGTCCTGTAATCGATTGTAATCGATTACTTTGGAAGATGTAATCGATTAATAATCGATTACTTTCAAGTTTTTATCCCTTCAAATATCGAAGCAATATTTTAATGGTATATATGTTGATGATATCCACTGAAGTTTGATGTGTTCCTGCAGTTTCATTTCAGATTCTTTTAAGGTTTTTTTCTGGTTTGGTTTCATATTTTAGACCTAGCATTCTCACTAAATGCCCAAATGAGGAATTCTCTACCATGGAAGGTGGAGAAATGATTCCTACAATAAAATATGCCAAGGAATTAATTATTCCTTTCAACCTTGGATCTGAACCTCCATATTTATTGACTTGTTGCAAAAAATATTTAATATTTTATTGTGAATTACTTCATAAGAAGTATTTGGGCTGTCTGTATGTTGACAATATACATTAAACATTCCTGTACGTGTCTTTTTCCAAAAAATAATTAAATTAGAACTCTTAGTAATAAACATGTAAATGAAATGTGTCTTAAGTAATTAAACTAATAGCACAATTTCATTCTGTATTGAAGTAAGTGTTTTGAGAGCTTTTAATTGTTTTAATAATATTGTTCGTCTTCAATGGAATGAAAGTTAAACACTAGCCAGGTAGTTCACAGTTTACACCTCATTATCTGCAAATCAGGGATGTCTCTGTCAATTAATTAGCCAAGATAAGCAAACACAGTGACACTTACTCCCTCTCTTACAGACACTTATATAACCTCTCACTGATATAAAAGCAACCTTACAATTTTGAATGAAAACATGAGAATGATTTTGCAAATTTTAAAGTTACTAAAACACAAGTTTGAAGTTTTTAAAACCTTTTCAGATATGAATAAGTGTTTCCATCTTCTTTTTTTTTTTTGGAGTACAATGTAGTTTACTTACCAAATTATTTATATTTAATACAGCACTTAAATCTGTTTTTGCTATTTATAATTTTTATTTTCTAATACAAGACAAAGTTTTTCAACATTTGCAATGTGAAAAAGGATATATGCAGCAAGAGGACAGTGGGTCAGATGAAAAATCTGTATATTTTATTAATAAATGGTTGAAATACACTTCTGAATTATTTAATACTAGACCAGATGGTCTATAATGCAAATTTTATTGAGAACATTATTAAACTTATGATAATAAAAGTTAGGAAATATAAACATTACACCAGCTGGTTTATATTTGATATTTATGTGTGACTAGCTGGAAATAATTCTCCAAAATAACATCCATTTATGTATAAAATAATCGAAAGTAATCGAAAAAGAAATTATAATTACATTGGAAATTTTAGCTGTAATCGATTAAATTACGATTACAAGTAATCGAAAATCTCTTCGATTACAGATTACTGTCGATTACTTGAAAAAAAGTAATCATTACAATCGATTACGATTACTCGATTACGATTACCCCATCCCTGACATAAAACAAAATAAACTGATAGATGAAGATATGCTACCCAAAAGCAAGTGTAATAGGATGATCGGGGACTAACAATATAGTCTAGTACTCAGTTGTAAATCATAAAGTAGATCTAACTGTATAATACAGAGGTACAGAGAAAAAGATTATCAAAGAAATATTGCATTTTCACTATATACTCAATAGAGCTCCGTCCGGAGTACAGCAAGAATAAAATCATTTTAACCCCATATCCAACTCCAGTTAGATTCTACCCTATTTACATCCAAAAATCATGCAACTTGTTAATACTTCAAACAGAAACATTGCAAAGATGCACATTATCTGAGAATCATTGGACATAAATGAGGACTATGATCATGTTTCAGTAATTATTCTCCGAAGAATACTAATGAGAACTACCAAAACGATTTGCTGGTCAACGTATTACAAAAATTAAAGTTGACTTTGAAAAAGTTTCAGATCTTGTTTCAGGTGATAGGTTTCCTCAAGAAAACATTACCTTTTTTGCTGTTTCTAGATACTGTTAGATTCATTCGTTGTAAACAGCCTTGTACAATGAAATACAAGCAGACGAAATCCTTCTGGAAGGCTGGTAGGAATTTGAATATTATTATTCCATAACATTTATTTATATTTTATGGGCGGACCAAGGTCTATAGGAGATGAAGAGGGACTGATCAAAAAGAAATTTCTTATGCTAAATTTTGCAGTACCTAACGAAACAATTTTGAAGAACTTTTCGTTTCCCAAAGCGAATAAATACAGGGTGCTTTTCACACATTCAGTGAGTCATATCAGTTGTGTGCAGATGTCAAGAGGGTGACTTCCGGGCTAGACAAACAAGGAGACGTAGATGTGTAATATTGGATATGAGAATGGAGAATGGAGAAATCCTTCGTTCGAAACAGGAACCTTTTACAATAGAAATTAGATGATGTAGAAGTTGTGAAAGGTTTGTGCTTCGATGATGAAGGCATTGCGAAGAAAACTGAATTTAGTACCAAGCTAAATGAGGTTATTGTATGTCTTAGGATGAATATTCGTAGGATGAGGGAATACAAGAAGGTGATATCTATACACGAGTATGGATTGCAGAAATTTTTATCCCTTGGTGAAATTGATTGGAGGAACTCTAACCATGCATATGCCATAAGTTGCTTACGTACAAACATATTTGATTCAACTGTAGCAGCAAATCAAAAACAACATCGTGAAGTCTTTATCCTTTGTCGGGAAATAAATAGTATTTAGAATCCCCTTTGTATCTTCACGAAGAAAAAGTGATAGTGACAATCAATACAAAATTTAGTTCGACTTACAGAGTGGACCGACGATTCTGATCCAAAAGAAACTAGGTTCATAAAGCAAAGATCATCTCTGTTGCATACACATTTTACTTGTGTTACAAGTAGTTCATACTCAATCCATTATGACTTCGAGGTCTGCAAGAACAGAAGAATATAGAGAAAAGAATATAGAGGGAAGTTCATGTCCAATTTCCTCTGATTTAGAGAAAAGGTTTACACATGATACAGAAACCTACAAAATAAAAATAAAATAATAATAATAATTATAATAAAAAAACAAAAACAAAACCAAAAAAAAAAAAAAAAAAACCCAAAAAAAACAAAAAAACAACCCCCCCCCCAAAAAAACAACAACAACAACAAAAAAACAACAACAAAAAACAAGCTATAGCTACTTTGATTGGCAAAATATTATCGATGTAGTTTCTATCTGCAAGCTTTGTTTAAAAGGGATGTTACCTTGTGAAAAGTAAATATGTAACACTTCTTGAATTGTCGCCTAATGGTAACATCCGAGAAATCGAACAAAAGAGCCCTTATTACATAGAAAATGTATTGCCGCTGTTGAGATAAAGTATCCTTCTCCAAACCAAGGAGAGACCTACACTCATTATTTTTATGCTTTTACCAGTCGACTTTGGGATTAAAATGAGGTAGAAAATTCTCTTCGGAGTTGGAAATGGGGATGAAATTATTTTATTCTTGCTGTACTTTTTTTCTTTTAGCAGTTCTATTGTCAATTTTTGCCTTTTTCTTGACTATTTGGTATTCCTTGATAAAAAGTAAGCAACAAATAATTTTATTGCCCACTTTAATTATGTTTTAATTATCCAACAAAGTGGCTAAAGATACGATAGATAAAGATTAGTTGCATTATGTTACTGATAATGGGAGTCGTTGTATCATACGTTACCCCTAAAAACCCTAATTAAAAGCGATAAAATAAATAACTTCATTACAATTCTAGGGTGAAAGGGGAAAATAATGAATTTTCATCACGGTGAACGTGAGTCAAATGCTGACTGACGTTTTTCATACTAATTGTTAGGCCATTATTTACACACTGAATTGTCGACGGATTTTTCCGTTATTTCCCGATCATGACAAGGAGCACACGGCGGGTGTGACCGGTCGGCAGGGGATGCTCACTCCTCCATGGCACCTGATCCCACCTCTGATGTTTGGAGGTCCGTGTTTGCTCTGCTCCTATTTTGTATTGTTTGATGGACTTTTGAGCCTGAATACTGTTCCTTATCTTCATATATTTCTTCTGAACTTGTAACTTGATTGGGAAAAAGCTATATGAATAAACTTCTAAGCCTTTTTATCATGAAAGTGAAAAGAGTTTAAGAAAACACTAGACATTGTATTTTGTATCAACAGATGTCTGTGGCATTCCTATAATGCAACTTCTAACACATTTAGGGCTAATTTGCCTTAAAGAAAAACAAATACAACATTAACTTACCTTGGTCAAATTTTCAAACAAAACCCCCGTAAGGAATCGTTTGATCATACGTTTCGGAATAGGTGCATCACAGTAATGCAATGGCACTGTGATTTTTATCATGAAAAAAAAGGTGGAGAAAACGATAAGTGGTCGAACTCGATAAAAAGTACAAGTAAAAATCTCTGAATAGGGCTTTAAAAAGAACCCCGGGAATTCCAGAGATGGGATCAGGTCCCTAAGAGAAATAAGCATCCCCTGTCGTCCTATGATCAATAGAACCCTATCCTATCTACAGAACCCCTGATCCCGAGGCCAAGAATTTCATAATATTGGTAGAGGACTCAATGATTATAACAATTATCAATAACTGTTTGATGTCCAGGAGTAAAGGAAAAGACTTTTAAAGACTGCATTAATTTTGATGGTTTTAGTTCCACCCCTCCGACCCGGTTCCATGAAATTCATATTTTTAGGTGCTATGTAACAAAATTGGTTAAAACGGGTTCCAGAGAAACTGAAAATATTCAAATGTAAACACGACGCACGACGACGGACAAAAACAGATTGGATAGGTCACCTGAGTCACCCAGGTGACCTAGAAAATGTATTTAATTTGTATACCATAACTCGTCGTGAAGAGAACACAACTGTAATTAATGAAAAGTGTCAGAACATGTCAAATGAGCTTTTGAAACTAAAATGCATTACTTACATTTTCCTTTTTGAGACACATGGCATTGTCAACTTTCATATAAGCTTGAGATGGTGCCTTCTGACTGCAATTATATTACTCCTCGTCGGTTGTAGTTCATAATTACATTTTCAAAGCATTTTGTTGAAAAAAAAATATGCTTGCATTTTACGTAAATATTTTATGATGGAAATTGCCCAAAGTTCAGTTGTCTCATTAGTCATGAAAATGTTAAAGATATTTAAATTTTATAATCAAATATTATGTATTGTATTATCAATGTAGCTTTCTATAGAAGATACTTTTTTCATCGAACTTGATAAAATCAGTACATAATATGGATTTAACGGAAATTACTATTTAATCAATGTAATGAAATTACTTACAGAGTGGCTCAGGGCTCATCGGACAGTCTCTTCATAAACAGTCCAACCCTCAGCAGCTATTCATTGCCGTAAGTAAAAGTAACGTTTTGGCAGAAACTCGGATTTAAACATTTTGTCTTTACTAGATACATACTAGATGTTTTACTCCTCTCTGTAGATCTACCCCTACCACCACTCCTGCTACCCTCTATTGTACATGCTCCTCCTACCAATCTGCCAATCAAAATCCTGGTTACGCCCACTGCCAGCTGGAGTCTCCAACGGAACCATGTTCTGAGTATAAGAGCCAAACTGTTAGTGTGTGCACACAGAGTAGAAGAAAGAGGAGTACTTCCGGGACAGATGACGTCATAGATACACCAAGTTTCTCTTACGATCCCGACTATGATCAGGAACTACAGGTTTGGTTTTCATAAATATTCACAGTCCATTACCACTACTTGTGTAAGAAAGCTCAACATTCCTGTAATATGGAAAAAAGAACTAAAATTCCCACTCTGTTTAAAGTTCACAATGAATCATTATTATGACACAATTCCTCACAGATAATAAATATCTTTACTCATGATTATGAATGATGCTTTTGGATAAGGTGGCTACCTGGCGAAATGGTTGGAATGAGAGTGCTGCCACGGATTATTGCAGCAATGCGTTCACTAAGGACCCTGCTGTCACAGTCTGCATAGAGAAAGTCAATACCAGCGTAGCAGAATACACAAACAGTTGTATTACTGATATCAAGGTAACTCAACCTACAACCAAATTTGTTTTTTTTTTGTTGTTGTTGTTTTTGACAGTTAGACCTGTATAATAGATTCAGAATAAACAGCAGCTTAAATTCTCTCAAAGAAAGAATTTATCATGCTGAAGAGCATACTGTAAACCAACTTTTATGCGAGAAATATTCGCGACTTTCGCGATCTATTTTAACTCGCGAATATCAATCGCCGCGAACTATTTAATCTGCTTTGTATTTGTAGAGAATGTTTCCTTAGTCACGAAAATTAATCGTCGCGGATTGATTTCAAACCGACTTATCGCGAATAAAAGTTGACGCGAATAATAGTTGGTTTACAGTATATTTGAGTACTTTTTGGGATATGTAATTTCGCCGAAGTAAAATTAGCGGTTGAAAATATAGAGCCATTTTATGTTGTGCTACCCTAGCACTGATTTTTTAATGTTAGAGATGACTTCTCAAATGGTCACTGCATTATATTTTTTTATTTATTCTTTTTTTTATTATCTGAACAGCTCCAAGGTGACACTGACTTCTTGAAAGCGACACTCGATACTCTAAAGAAGAAATGCATAACAACAGCATCACGTGACGAAAGTTTCCAGCAGACGAATACAACATCTAATGGCGTCAGCGTTTTAGATACTCTTTCCAGTTTAACTTGTCCAAATAACTGCTCAGGTCACGGGACGTGCGCTAACGGTGAGTACAAGTAACTGCCAACAAAACACCTAAGAGAGTCAAATCTCATTCATAATGAACATACACATCAAGAGATTAATAGCGTACTTCGATCGGACAACCCACGTTAACGCTTGTAGGCCAGATTTCTATTATTTTTTGTCCCTTAATACAGGTAGTTTAATCCAATGACAAAAAAGCACATGCACTAGAATGCAACAAGAGTTACTCTATTCAACCTTGATTCAAGGCAGGCTAAATCAACTAAGGATTAAATGTCAAATTCAACCTTGATTCAAGGCAGACTAAATCAACTAAGGATTAAATGTCAAATTCAAGACTGAGTGTGTTCTATTTTTCTGTAAATTATTTGACTTTGATTGGGAAGTGTAATCCAGGAAAGACTTTGACCGCGATTATTTAAAGAAACTGGTTTCATCTCTGTTTAATGATTAATATGGAATAAATGTTTTTGAAAGTCTCTGTCTAATCATGAATGATGTTGCAACCTCGGATAATTGATAAGATATGTACACCAATGATCCTATTCCTTAGAAAACTGTATAGTTATAGTTCACCACCAAAGTGCAAAAATATGGCTTGTTTGTCTTAAATTACACCTCCTGCTTCTATAAGTATGATGCCTGATGTCCAGTCTAATTATTTAAAGAGCGTTTCACATGATAAAACATTGTTTTAGAGACCTGTAGTTGTGATTCCAGTCACATTGGCGAGGATTGCTCACATGACTTACAGACTCCCCCAGCAGAAATCAGCGTCCCTAGCCACGGGTTATGTGACACGAGAAACCGGCCTTGTCTGACACAAAACATCGTGGGCGTTTTCCATATAGCACCCTATGCCCTGGCTCAACATTTTAAGGTAAGAGGGGTTTTTTTTTATCCCATAGTATCTTATTCTAAACATGACCAAAAACCAAACAGATGAATTTCTTTCCTAAGGATGCTGATTGTACGGGGCAAAAATCATTCATTTTATTGATATTGGTTCTAAATACTATGATTGAAACACATTGCTAAACACTATGTTAAATAACCCAGATATTTTTTTACACAAAAGTTTTATCAATATATAACATGTCAAATAAATGGTAGAGAACCTAGCAGATCAAAATATAGACCAAATAAGATCTTTTTTCATCATTTCAATATATTGTTGCCAAGTGACTCTCATATTTGGTATATAGCCTTATGGAAATGTAGTGAGGCACGGGGGAGTCATCAACAAAAATAAAAATTAATAAATGTCAATGATTCCAGGGTTTTTACCTGAACATCATTTCACTTCTTCATTGTCCCTGACCTTTGCAATCTGACCTTTTGTTAGGGCATTGTTTTCACACTTACTATGACTACGGCTTACTACGTTTACATGATCAATACAGAAATCTTACGGCGGATGTGACTGGTCGACAGGGGATGCTTACTCCTCCCAGGCACCTGATCCCACCTCAGGCATGCTTACGATTCTTACTGTTTACAAGATTTAAGAGATCGATCTCATCTTCACCTTTTTAACCTCAGACATTTACACACGTACAATTAAACCAACTATCATTCACGGTTAACTTTTATATGCAATTTATCAGTTTGAAATCCATCGGCTATTATTTATTTATTTCTACTAAGGAAACATTCTACACAAATCACAATTAGATAGTTTTTTTTTACCAGCGATAATTATTAGCAGTAAAAGAAGGTCATGAATCTCCTGGATGTTTCTCGCAATAAAATGAAAGTCAAACCCCGGTCGATATACAGAGAATTATGACAAAACCAATATATATAACTTAACCGTGTTTGAGAGTTATAATAAATATAAATAAAGTGAAATAAGGGAATTTATACAATAACTCAATCTTCTACAGGCAACAGAAAGTGGTAAAGAGTACAGTAATTACAGCGTAATGGCGAACGTGACGTTACGCCAGCTGAACCTTCTGACTGTTACCATACCAACCTATCCCACGTCGTCAAGGAGACGACGCTCCACAGACGGTTCAATACATGGTTGGGATTTAAGCTTTAGTTACGACAATTCTACCTTCAGCAACTCTACTTCCGTTGTTGTGTACAATGGCGCCTCCGAATCGTGCGACTACACAACCTATACATGTACCAAGGTATAATTACAATCATTTAGTGTGGAGCTACACGTATTCACTTGATGCTATTAATTTTCAAGGTTCTTTTATTTTATCACTTTTGGGACAATTTCTACTTAATTTGTACAGAAGAAAATTGTTCAAAAGAGATTGACATTTATTTGATTTAAGAACCTATAAGATTCTAAAACTTAACGAAGTCTAAACATAGCATTGAACTATAGTTGGTTATTCATATCAAATAATATATGTATGTGTGCATGAATTTGGACTATATGCTTTGAATAAATATGAAAAAGCATGCAGATCTCTACATCATAGTATTTTTTCATTGTATTTTGTTCATATTTCAGTTCACATCCGTTCAGGAGGAGTCAGGTAAATTCCACTAAATTCAATATATAATGTATATAATGGTACTATTAATTATTTTCATTTTCAAAATGTATACCTTTTAAGAACTTTAAGAACACTGAGTGATTGAATTCAGGAAGCTTGAGTTCTCAATATTGAATATATCATTTTTTTTTTACAATTTTAATCCACCTTAATTCAAAAAAGGTTTATCCATTGTGGATTTCGACTCTTCCTATGAAATCAGTACAAGTTCAAGCGTGAGTATATACTAGTATTCATTGTGTTATCAAAAGCAGTCCTTTGAATCGCAAAAAAAAACTTTTTGTATTTCCAGGCGACAATTCAGTTGCGGCGGCAGCAGCAGGTGGCGCTGTAGGTGTTGTGGTTGTCTTGGTGATCGTGGGAGTTATTGTTTATTATTTTAAAGTCATCAAAAAGTAAGACTTGAATATAATATTTATAATTATTATCATTATTGATTATTATTAATATTGGCTCATCGGTTGTTAGTGCCTGTTTCCAGTTAAAATAAGAACTGGACTAGCATTATTCATTAATCAAAAACTCCGCGCCTTTTTGACTGTTGAACTGATATGGCCCAGAATTTTGTAAATACAATGTATTTGAAACTATAGTTGATGTATGTTGTAGTTGAAATTTCGAAAAAACAATAATTTATTTAGAAATCTGCATAAATTTATCACTCACACAAACATATTTTTGTATACAAATATTACATAGATATGTTTTATTGAATTTGAATGTCCACACTTGATAAGGAATAAGTAAAACTTTAGCATGACATCTGTTTTACAGTTTGTTCAAACCTGATCTTTTTCAGTAAAAAGTTATCCCTTTATAACTAGAGTTGTTGACACCGCTCACATTTAAGTAACTTTATTTCATTTTTTCCCTTTGAGGCACGAGTTTCTTTTAAGCTTGTAATTATCAAAATTATGTTTGATAAGTTTGGTGAAGATAATAATATAAATACGTTGTATGCCTAGTAATTTTTTCTGTCAGTGAATGAACCGAGTGTTACAATGAAAAATCAACTGGGATAAATTCTATTAACTATTTCCAGCAAAAGACCATCATCAGCTAAGGTTGGTAGCAGTGACAGGGAACTACTAAACTTAAAACAAGACGAGGAGGAGCCTCCCCGACCACCGACCGTCAACTCGTGGGTTTCAAATATGAAGAAATAGCTTATGATGGATATAAAAGAAATAGCTAGAGATGGATATTTAAGAAATAGCTAGAGATGATTATTAATGAAATACCTAGAGATTTAAGAAATAGAGATGGATATGAAATTACCGTGTGCTCAAACAAGATATTCAAACTAAGCACTTAAATCATATATATGTTATTCTGTCCCTATTATTCGAATTATTTACTTTAAGATGTTTCTTTTTAATGTTCAATGTATTCTAATTATTAAACTCTCCCTCTCTCTCTCTCTCTCTCTCTCTCTCTCTCTCACACACACACACACA